GTATATTTGTTTTCAATATTCCATGGTGACGTCATTACTCCAAATTTGGGCAGCTACCGAGCGGATATGACGATTTCACCAAAACTCTTGAATTATTTTCAATAAATAATGAAAGACCTTATCTTCTGCAACCAAATTACCTAATCAATGGAATCCAAACAATTCTAATCTTATAACTACTGTATTCTGAACAAGATAATAAATTTATCACTTTATGTATAAGTATTGGCTCGTTCCTCCTTAAATTTATCTTTATGAATTACGTCAATTACCATGGGTTGCGAATCAGGGCCAAATTCTTTGAATCCATGGACCATAAATTTCTTCAAAACTTTAACAAAGAAAAAATAATAAAGCTGATTACAGATGATGGGGCAACTTCAGCACTTAAAAACACACTTTTTAACCCGTGGCTACATGACCACGCGGCTATATATGACTGCACGGTTACATCTTTACCTTTGGAGGACAGCATACAAGCTTCTTGCGCCTCGCCAATATTTTCACTCTACGATATGACAAAAACATTTGTCCACTTCATGAAAGCATTGTTAAAAATTAGTTGTGATGTCTCATGAGAGATCACACAACAACACTTACAATTATAAAATATTCCATATACCTGTGTCTGAATTTGTTCAAAATAGTTCACCATATAACCATTCCACATCGTCAACATGAAATCAAATGCACCTGACGCCAACTAAATAAAATGAAATTAAAATCCAATACCACTTATTGATCATCCCAAAACTACAGCAACATAATGCGCAGACAAGTATACGCCTTCGTACGCCGTCGTAATCATAAAGACTTTACGATTTAGGACGGCAACGCGACGGCAACGGTTACAATATATGAATAATTTAGACATTGTCCTCGCTCTGTTTACAACGCCAAATCACAGATTTTCACGTCTTGATACAACGGCTGCATTTCAAGCCGCACAACAAGTGCAACTTCAAACTGAAACTTCAAACTCCCAACCATAAAACCCATGTCTTCAACTTCTAAAACTGTATTAAATTCATACGATTGATAATATACGACGAACTATCTTTACTATACCATTTATTTGAAGGAGTTTGTCTTGGCCTAAAATCGTAAGGTCTTTAATAATGGAGTCAGGCAAACGAAAGGGACAACTTGAACCTTGCTAATAGAGGTAAATTTGAGTTATACTTGGGCTACAGTTCAAGTGTTCAATCCTATAGTTTATTTGTGGCGAAAAATTGAGGGATTTCCGTTTTGTATCGTGAAAAATTATAAAAATTTGAACGTGCCGATATCACGAAGAAAACATCGCTCTTCAACATCGAAAAAAGCACTTTTTAAATTTCTACCGTTTCAAGACTTGTTTTGTATTAAAGTCCTTGCTAATGCTGAGCTAAATAAATATCATGTAACCAAGAACAACTCAGCATACTGTATTACAGGATCACTCATTCTTGGAGTATAAAGCATGATTTGATGTTGTTCGTTTGGGGTTTCTTTTGCCGTAACAAGCAATAATCTATTGTATTTCTTGTGCATGCACAATCAATAACGGAAGACGAAGAATCTTAGAGGCAAAGGAAACTAAAACCCGGACGAGAAAAGGTAAAATCGTGCTACCACTTGTATCGTAAACTCACCACTCGACTTATATAGTCGACCATGAATTTGCTTCTAGATTAATTTCGAATTGCCATGCACTCTTAAGGTTACAGAACACCTTTGAGTGTTAATTTTGCCTAAAATTTTTTTATTGGTTTCCATGAAAGCATTAGACTAGTTCTACTATCTGACCAAGTTTGAACGAAAAATGTTGAAAACTCGCAG